TCAGCGGAGACTTGTTTAAAGAGAGCTGCCCATCGTCATCTCTGGTACTTCATTCAGCTCCTAAGTCTAACTCACAGAACAAAGCCTGCCCGCCTCTTTTTACATTGATAACAGCTAGGCAGGAGGACACAGTGGGCACAGGGGACAGAATGGAAGAAAACACCGATCAACACAGATGCTGAGCAACACAAGGTGCGGTTGCCAGAAAATCCTGTCAGTCCAGTGAGACACGTGAGAACATGCCATGCTCACCCAGAGGAAAACCAAAACCCCCCTTTCCCTGGGAGGCCACTGCCAAAGAGCACAGGCTAGAAAGAACTGGGGCAGAGTAGAACAGGAAGGGCTGAGAAGGAGGAGGGCAGGAGCCTCTGTCAGCTGGCTTCACATGGCTGAAGAGGTGCGGGCAGCTCATGGGGGCTGTGGGACTCCCACTGCCTGTACACTGCCTCGTCCAGCACCTCCAGGCCTATCCAGATGGGTCCAGCTCTCTGGTCTGAGCCTGGTTTAGCCCCCCATCAAGTCAATACGGAAAGGATTTGGGTCACTGTAAGCTTTTGTCAGAAGGGTTGCCTGAATTAGTTCTTCTGTTTGAGATGAAAGGACGAAAGAGGTTCATCTTTGTTCCCCTGCTGTCATGACCCCATCCCATCCCTGTCGCTATTCTCTGGTTCTCAGCAAGGCCCCAGCACCAGGTCACAGGTCAGAGAGATCTGCGAACTGCTTCCCTAGGGAAACCTGAGCCGGCTCCAGCACTTCCAGAAAGGAATGGAGTCAGTTGGTGTCACTGAAGTTAACTTGCAGCAGCTGTCAGAAAAAATGCATCCTATATACACAAATAGACACCGACTAACCAAAAGAGAATGGCATCTGTGAATCTGGGGGCATGTAGGGTTATACATTGTCCTCCAGTTCTAAGACTTGTGCCCGAGTTCACTGGTGAGCATTCTGCTCCTGGAGATGTCACCATACAGCACAGATGAGACCACAGACAAAAGCATGATTCTGAACAGAACCGAAGCACTCAGACTGGGTGATAATATATCATACATAGTCATATATTATACAGGAGTTTACACAGGTCTTCCTTTTCTTCCCTTCATAAAAACAGGTTAAATAGGAAAAAAACACTGATATAATTGTTGCTCACATGGAGCAGGATACTGACCTAACATGAGCCATCTGCCAGAAAGAGATTTTCTTGACTCACAGTTTAAGATCTAAGCAAGGAGAAAATGTCAAACCATCAGCCCCGGCACACACTTATCTCAGTCAGCATTCTGTGAATCTGTGGTAGATGTATTCTACATAAATCTGCTTCCCATCCAGAGCAGAAGTGCCTGTTTCAGAGGTGAGCTTCCCCACAGCTGCCAGGAGGATCTGCTGAGCAAGGGATGCCCACATGCACCGTGCAGCCCATCCAACAGCAATCTAACTGCAGGGTTGCTGCTACATTTATAGCATCACATAACACAGGTCAGCAGCCCACATGAGCACATGCTGCTTATACAGGAAATTCACCCTAGGAATTAGGAGCTGGCACTGCACATGGCAACATCTCAGCTGTTATTCTTGTTGCTGTCCAAAACAAGCCCAGATGCCCATGGCACAGACCTATGCCAAGAAGAGGATGTAGCAACTCTTCCAGCTATCTGGATGGCACTGCATATCTCTGTTCCAAAGTACAGACAAGCCACTGCTCTGAGCTGCATTCCCACAGCTTGTGATATGCACAGCCTCCATCCATACAGAGTAATCTCTTGGTGGTCACTCCCACAACACCAATACCTACACACCATACATCACTGCACTACCTTTTTCCTCTTTCCCACCATGCTTTCAAGCCATGCTTCTGATGGAGACCAGCAACAGATAAAAGAGGGGGGAAAAATAGCATTCTTTCCCTCACATTTTCATAATATAGGTACATATATGTTTACACTGCTCTTCCAGATACCTTTTCTCTTGAAACAAATAACAGAGAGGTCTTCTGTATCTCTGCAGAAGCTCACAGGACAGGGCTCACGTCCAGCAGCAGAGACTCCTTGAAGAGGTGAACCTCGTGCAGCCATTGCACTGGTGGTTCTTCCTCCAAGAGGGCACCCACAGCATCTGCTCTGCTCCAGTGGAGAACAGGTGCCCTCAGGAAACACAGGTGATGTGAAGATAAAGGAGTGGCAGCAGCCTGCATGTCCCATCCACCTGTCCCCGAGGACAGGGCTCATCTGCTGCCGATGCCTGCGGTCCTCTAGTAACAGCCTGGGAGATGATTTTTTTTTCCCCAAGACATTCCAAGATGTCTTTTTCTTTCCATAGCACAAGCCACAGCTGGGCTTGAATATCAGTGTTAGGTCAACAGAGCTGGTGAGGAAAACAGGAGTAGTGTAATGGAGTAATTAAAGGGGGATGGCTTTCAAAACTGATGTTCAGTTTAGAGCTGGAGACTGCCAGATGACAGCGGAAATTCTCCAGCAGCATTTCCCTCTTTGGAAAAGAGAAATCGTTTTCCCCCTCACTTCAAAAGCCCCTCATAGATTTCCTGTACTGTTTACGTCACCATCTTTATCAGCTCAGCTCTGTTGGGGATTTCCATTACTTTCTCAGTCAGCACTTTTCAGTACTTCTAATGCACTGAGCACCATGATGAATGCGATGCAGGAGCAGAGCGGTGCTCAGACCTCCTGCTCCGAGACTCGCAGAGTGCAGCCATCATTCCTGCCAGGATGTGATGCAGCTGTGGACTGCAGCACTGATTTTCCTGCATCTTTCTTCAGAGGAGAGTGGGGAACACGAGGAGAGATAGCACATGTAAGCGGTGTTGTACCTGTGGTACACCAATAGCCACGTGCATCTTTAATGGGAGCAGCCACACAGGGAAGGTATTGCAGGGATAAGCACAGATCTACCCATTATTGATGTGATTCTGTTTTTGCAGTCCCTCCCTTTCCCAACAAGGTTTACAGTCATAGTTACGTCCCAGTTCCTCACCCCAGCTGAGAGAACCATTCCTCCAGCCCTGCCCCAGGAACCTGCAGGGCTGTGCTGGATTTTTTTTTTTGGCTTCCTCCATAACACTGACAGCACTTGCAAAAATCGGGCAGCTTTTATCCTCAGCAGAAATTGCTATTCATCTGCATTCCTACCTTCTAACATGAAAGTAAACCAATTTGAGATTAAAACAATGTAAGAAAATGTACAGACAAACTGTAATTAGCACCTGTTGAACAATTTAGGAGAATAACATAAGAAAATACAACCAAAAAAAGACAACCACATATCCACGAGTCCTCTAGGACATGACCCAAGTATGCCTGTCAAGGAAAAAGGAAAGAAAGAAATCCAACCATGCCAAAACAGCAGGGCTCTCAGTCTGCTGCAGGCAAAGGTTTATTGGCAAAGGCCAATTAAAGGACGTCAGAGGCAAACAACTGCATCATTGCAGGGAAGAAATTCTTAGCAAACAGAAGTTTGAGTAACATGATTTTTGCCTTTGACATTCAGGTAAAGATATGTGGTATTTCTCCCACATTCTGTAGAGTGCTGTACAACATATTACGTGCTTGGAAAATAAAAGAGAGAGAAAAGAAAAAGAGAAGTTTAATGTTCAACGCGTTCTAAAAGGAGCAGTAACACATTATAAAAGTTATTTCTCCAACATAACAGTAGTTGATGTCAGCCTGAGTTTTTCAGGGACTCCGATTAGAGCTGCTGTTGCTAAGTATGCAGCCTAGGGATGGACTTATCAAAACCATATCAGATGAGCGTGATACAGTTTCTTTTGATAACTGTCCCTACTGCCAGATTTGTTTTAAAGAAGGAAAGAGGGAAGGGAGCAGGACAGAGACAGCCCACCAGACACCTCATCTGTTCACATATGAACTTCAGTTCTTTGTAGGGCTCCCAGAAGAGCAACTCAATCTTCCAGTCCTCACAACCAAGCTTTTAATTTTTGACATAACTTTTTCATTGCAATTCCTCCTTCTGACACTTGCAAAAGTGAAACATTCATCTAAGAAGGACAGGATTACACAGCTACATAAGTTACGCACCTTGCGCTCAGGCACACTTACCTCCCACAGTCAAGTCCACCATTGGCACACTGCACACAAACACAACTCCAGAAGATTCCCCAAGTGCAGAGGGAGCCCATAGAAGATGACTCTAAGGCAGCACATCCACACACACTGACTTGCTCTCACAGGCTCTGTTCACCCCTCTCTCCTCACACTCAATCAAACGAGTGAACTACCTCCACCTGAGCTTCCTCCTGCTGCTGGCTTAATGTTGAGGAAGAAAACCTGCTCTCCCAGCCCAGCTCTCATCTTGCTCCCAGCTGTGCTTTCTCCTTAGGACCGTTCTCCTCACCATTAGAATCAAGGAGGAAACCTCCTGGGCCCTCCATGCTGTTGGCACTTGCTTCCAGAGCCACGAAGGTACATTTCATACACACCAGATCCTCCGTGGTGCCAGAAAAGCACCAGAATGTAATAATAGTTCAAGGGCTGAAAAGGCTCTGGTGGGTCTCTCCACAATGTGGTGGATCTGAGCTGCAGTATGCAGGACAGGTTGGCAACCAGCAGCCTACTAGGAAGAGCTGTCTATGCTCTCAAACTACACCAACTTGTGTGCGGAGCAACAAGTTAATAATGCAGGAGGAGGGGGAAGGAAGAGAATAGCTTTGTGTTTAGAGAAACATATATCTGATTCTCACTCCTTTTCCCTTTACACAAGCTTCTGCAGTATAAGAACCTTCCCAGTCTGGGCAAATATGACCAGTCTAGGTTTTATTTCTATCAAGATACATCTGTCATCTTTGGTCACCCCCACATGAATGGAATAAGAACAGAAATGTGTTTTCATTCAGTTAGAGCACTTGTATACTATCAGTTTTGCTTCTTCCTTTCATCACTGTCATTTTGCCTGCTGCCTGTTTGTTGCACATCGTATGGAGGGAAGCCCACATACACTGAACAATGAAAAAACACAAAATGTGGCAGATGCTGTGATCTAGGAAATGATTTTATTAAAAACCAAAGGGCAGCATGCTTTCTTCAGCATTTAAGAGTGGAAAAGATTTATATTCTCACTACTTTTGCCATGCAGTGTCTGCACTATTACTAAATTTCACCACTTTCTGGAACAAAGCAGAGCACCGAGGACCAGTGAACAAAACAGTATCGATGCAATAGCACACGCATGGACGTATTTCGAGAGGTATTGCTTTTGATCTGTTCTTTGCTACAAAGGATGATGGGGAATTGCTGTCCCAAAAGCACTTTGCAGAGGAAACCAGGATGTTGCCATAACGGATATTAATCCCCAAGGAGAAAGCAAAGGAAGAACACAAGCACAGCAAATTGCAGTGGCCAGGCAGCGTTCATCAGAGGCACCCGATTGCTGAAGGAGGCACCGGAGATCGTAACCCAACTTACATTCATCCTTGTGCAAAGCTGTAATTTCTGCTCAAGTTACAGCTTATGAGTCTTAAAGAGCTTCCTGAAAAACAAAACAGGTGTTCTCAGCAGACACAGTCATGGTGTGGCTGTAACTTGGATTTGCAACGTACATATTTTATGTTCATTATGTGCTAAGTAAAAGTTCTCGTGCACCTCAAACTCACCTGATCTTTAAGCTTGCTGAAAATGCCTTATCCTCCCCATAGCCATAATGACTGTCAACTGAAAAGCATTTTGCTCCATTAAACAGCCCAACACAAGCCCATCTGCTTCTGCTGCTTTGTGAAGGGTCTGCAGGGCTCTCCTTCTGAAAAGAAGTGTGCAGACAGTTTGCCAATCAATACCCAACAATTCTGCAACTTTTGCTATAATATCTCCTCTCGGTACCCTCTAATGACTCTCTTATCATCCTGCTCTCAGGAAGCTTAAATGTCAGGACTTATTAATTAAGATGGTTTGTCTTCTCTTATTAATCCCTTAAGTACTGAGAACCCATTCCCCTTTAATCAAGAGCAGCTGGGACCAACGCTGCACAAGAGACGGAAGAGCATTTTACTCGGGCGTGCTTCCCGTGACTGCGTTTCTGAAACAATCACTGAAGTAACGGTCGCTGTTTCTCCAGGAACACTAAAATGTGTCACTGTGATTTCACTTCCCAAAACTCCATCAAAACGATCCCTCAGCCCACATCAAGCTCAAGGTGAACTGTACTGAGCCCAGTGCTGCTCGCAAAATTGCCGCCTTCCGCACCTGCAGGTGCTGAGCCTTCACTTTTGCACTAGGGTCTAAGAGGGTGCCAGAATTTACTGAAGGACAGAGCCCTGCCAAAGCCTCATGCGTTTACCCAAGTGTCTGTTATCTCATGGTTTTGCTTTCCAGTGCATCTATCAAACGATGATAAGGAGATTATGATTCAGCTGTGCTTGTTTCTTAAATGGAAATAGCACAGGATAAAAAACAAGGTTTTTGCTATTTGCATTCCACTTCATTGCACTGCGGTTTTTAATTCAAACACATAAGCTACTAAAAAAGAAGCAATGGCAGAAGTTCTAAGAACCACACAGGCAATACTTAAATATTTTGGATCATTGATCCCTCAGTTCTCAGAGTGCTTCTCACCGCAAACACCCGTTGGGGGCTGGAGCTGGGACCTGCAGAACTGCAATCTTTCTTGTAGTGAGGAGCTGGGTCATGGAGCCCAACCCCTCTGCCAAATCAGGCACCCTACCACAGGTGGCACAGGTAGGCTTCCTGTTGTGTCTTGAATATGTCCATAGAAGGAGGCACCACAGCCTCTCTAGTCTCGCATCCTGCTCCAGTGCTCCATCACTCTTAGTCTAAAGGAGTTTTCTTCCCCCCAAGGCATCCTGGCTAACAAAACAAAATATCTGCTCCTATAATTCACAACTGCTGCATAGTAAAAGCTATGACCAACATAATATGATTTAACAATTTAGAAGCATACACTGTTTTATGCTTGATTTCCCAGACACACCTTGGAAGGAGCCAGCAATGGGTTTGCAGCCTGTTCTCCTCCATCCGTGCACACCAATGCTCCTTTAAATCTGAATTATTACAGGATGCTTCTACCTACCTTCTGCAGCAGTGATGGAGAGTGCCTCATTAAGTACAGAAAAGCAGGCTGCAGCCTGTTTTAACCTCTGTTGTCTCGGAAACAGCCCTATTTAAACAACAGGTAAATAGACTTTGCACATTGTGTACAGCAAGTAAACATTTGCTATTCATTTTACCCATTCACCCACAATGTTTAAATTTCCAGCCACATATTTTATGCAGTAAAACGCATTGCTTCCTGTAGTATAACACAGTTCTTTCTCATCATTTGCAGTGCAATGCTCTGTTGGCACAGCACAAGGCTGGGCTCTCACTGCTGGCAGCTCACGGGGCTGAGGTGGGAGGCACGACCTGCACAGCTCTCCTCAAGTCCTCCTCACGAGCTGCATTTTCTCCTGGCACTGAGTAATGTATAGCAAGACAAAAGAAACAAGTGTGGCATAGAGGGAAGAAGAGGAAGGAAAACCATTATTTGTACATCGGGCACTCCAGGCTTCCCGATTATTTCCTTGCTAATCTATGAGGTCTATTCCAGTAGTGAAATTCCTCTTCAAAGCATGAAAGCGGGCAGAATTTAGATAAAATTACATCAGGACGAGGACATGGCTCCCCGTGTCTCCCTGCTGAATAAAACTATTCCCAATTTCTTTCCTGCCCTCCCAGCAGCCGAGAGGCACGCCCACAGATGCAGGCACCCTTCCTGGCACTCAGCACAAAAGCACTTGCACTTGTTCCCTGCCTGTGACAGGTCCTCAGGTTTCAATCCAGGAAGGGGCAGGACTTTGTGTTATTTTCACCAGGGTCATTTATGTGATCTTTTTTTTTTTGCTCTGCCACTAAAAATCACCGCAGCATCCTTCTTGCAGCTGGTGTGTTTTATTCTCTGGAATGGGATATTCATCTGGAATGGGAACATCCCTCCTAATGCTGAGCTCAGAACTGTTCCCTGGAGCAAAGCACATCCCTGCCAACCCATGCATCTCTCACCATTTTGTAACCGACTCAGCTTTTCGATCAACTTTGTGAAACAGCTTTTGCAAAACCTGCAAGTATGTACAGAATTGTTTTATTTATTAAGCCTGGTTGTGCTGTAATCTAAAAGGAACGTGTTTTAGATGTATTATCCAGGTTCCTGTAACAGCACTTGTTGTGCTTTAGTCCCCATCATTCACAGCACTCCCTCTCATCTGGAAGCTGAGCATGCTTTGGGCAGCAAGGACCATCCAGGATGCTGGATCAGAGGACCTGCAGCCTGATTACCATCAAGGAATTGTTAAGGTTGGAAAAGACCTCTAAGATCACCTTGTCCAACCATCAGGCCACCCCCACCATGCCCAGTAATCACATCCCTCAGTGCCACATCTATGTGACTCTTGAACACCTCCAAGGACAGTGACTCCACCACCTCCCTGGGCAGCCAGCACGAGCATACATATTTCTCCCTTAGCATGCATTTTATTGCACTGAGAATATTTGATGTTCCTTTCTACTATATTCAGTTGTCCACAGCATCATAGTCATAGTATTTGAGTCAAGCACTAAGACGTGACATATTTTCACACACACAGTTGTGTTCTAGTCACCAACCTTGTTTTACCCCAGCAAGCTCCCTGCTGATTCCATCTATCGCCCGGTTTTTCAGGGCAGTGGCTTTAGAAGCTGTTTCAGCTCTCACTTACTTACAAATAACACGTAATGGCTGCAAGACACTCTGTGCTTCCTACACAGGGACTTCCATAGCATAGGTTTTGATGACAAGCAACAACTTCCAGCTGAAGCCAAGGTGCTCTCTTTCACACAGAATATGTGGTGTAAAGACATCCCACACCTATTAACACAAAGTTGTAAGCATGCCTCTCCTCAGTGAGACATTTTTAATAAATCAAAAGATTTATTTTTGATTTATTAAGCCAAGCCAAAGATACACCGGTGTGTTATTAAACCCACAGGATTTAAATTCACAGAAACAGGAACACTACCAATGCAGGTCACACTTCTGATCATTTAGGTGCACATTTCGATATTTTATGAGTTTTTGGATAGGGAACAAATGGTTCACATACCTCAGGTGCAGGGTGGTTCAGGGCTTTGCCAGGACACAAAACTAAAATGAATGACAGAGCAGAAACAGCCTCTAACACCTCAGACTGCTAAAGAGCTCATGCCGAGTTTCTGACTGTACCTAGTAGAGTTTTGTGCAATACAATAAATGGAATCCTATCTACCTTCTGTTTAGTTAAAATACACTGTTTGTTTCATGACAAATTTCAGGAATTGGCAAAGCACAGACTGATAGCTACTATCTATGCACCTCCACAACCCAGACAGAGCTGCTACAGGTGCCCAAAAAGTTCCCAATGCCTCCCATTATAGGACTCATTTTAACAGTTTGACCTGAATTTCCTGAATCAGCTCTACGTCACATATTGCTGTGTGCAAAGATTAAGCCAGAACAAATCAGTCATCCCATGGACAAGCCTAAGTAAAAGTGCACTGTTTTGCACATCTTAAGAAAGTAAATCCAGAGACCATAGTGGGCATCCTTCCCTTAAGAGGCACTGGAAACATCACAGCCTTGTAAAGAGATGTATATTTGGTACCAATGGGTTGCACACCTTGGATGCAATTTCATTAGACTTTGACCTTCTCTTGTGAAAAAAAAAGAAAAAAAATCAAACAAAAAAAACCAAACCAAACCACCACCACCAACAAAAAAACAACTAAGGCTTCAGTATTAACATACTTACCTACAGAAGTAGTTAAGGCTTGAGGCGACATTACATTTTCAGGAAACACATTGGTGATTTAGTGAGCACTGTGGTGATGGGTTGACGGTTGGACCAGATGATCTTAGTGGTCTTTTCCAACCTTAATGACTCTACACATTTAAATATTTTGACAAAATAATTAATAAGTCATTATTACAACCGTGGAGTCAAGCTGTCAGGTTAGGAAGCGTCAGAACTAAAAGCAAATACCTACCAATGTACACAAAATAATAGGTACTGTGTCACAGGAGACTTACAACAATGACAGCACCTAAAAGAAACCACAACACCATAACTTTGGAAACACAGTTTAAAAATCTCCCACTGAAAAGCACTAAGGTGCTAAAAACTTAGGGAAATGAAACTTGAGATACTCCATCTCTACACTCATCAGACCAGTGAGCCACTGGACTCTAAATGTATGACATCAAGAGCTGGAATAAAAACAAAACAAATATCCACATTCAGAGAACAGAAATAAAACCCACACAGGTGTATTTATTTCTTTATTTAGAAGTAAAAGCGTGACACTTCTGTCTACGAGCCACTGACGTATGGCGTGGTAAATTCAAAGACAGAAAGATGTTCTTAGCTTCCAGATTCCTTCCTCTCGCCCAGGAGCTTTGCCCAAGCTCTTACACATCAGATGACAGACTCATTCAAGGCAGCCGCTGCAGCTCCAGCTTTTCAGCTGACGATGCTTCAAAGACATCATCTTCAACACTTTCTTCTATTGGCTTCATCTTTGCTGAAGTTCTCAGGTAGGGTGATGTCCGGCCTGGGCCTGCCACAGTGCCAAAGAAATTAGCAATTAATTTAACAATACATACTTGCTATTCATACCGATCTGTAACACAGAGTGCAGACTCTGATGATCCTTGTCTAGTTCTCTCATAAGAGGATTTTATGACTGAAGGTTTCTTTCTTTTATTTGGCCACAGGCATGAAGAAATCCTAGGTGCAGGACAGCCAAGCTGACATGCACCAGAAACACCTTCAGGCTTCAGTGTAAATCCTGACTGCGTGAGATGCACACCTTGGTGTTCTTGAGAACCATTTTCTTATTGTTAGACTTGATACAGGCTAGTTTGTTTAGCAATGGGGATCAGTATATCAGTTTAAAAACCAATATAATTGTTTAGCAAAAGGAATCAACGAGTGCTAGTTCTAAATCTTTCCATTTCAACTTTGCTTGGTGTGTAAATAGCCTTGTTTATCTCAACTTGCAGGAATAGCCTTGTTTCTCTCAATGATTCTGCTTCACAAGAAGCAATGGAGCCATAACAGACTACTTCTATCTTTGCATCTACCAGGTGCAAGGTCCTCTTCCTCAGATTTCTCATATATTGGATTAGAGTGCACTAAGATACAAGTTGTTCATTATGGCTTAGCAAGCAAAACAAGTTTGTCAAATTGGGGAAAAACAGCTACAGGTCAGCCAGAAGTCTCTGTGATGAACCTGATGATGTAAAAACAGGGAGAAAGTAAGTGGTCGAAGACCACAGGCAGATGCTACTGCACACTCCCAGAGGGATATAAGCATATATTATTGAGTTCTTGGAAAATCATGAATATGCATGCAAATGTATTGCATATATATGCCTTAGCTGTTCAAATGCAGAAGCTGAGTCTGAGACAGCAAGCTTGTTTCATCAAGTTGCTCAGTAGCTATCGTGAGGAATAAAGGAATGTCGCTTTCTAACACAAGAGAGTTTTCTTCCCAGACTTCACATTTTTCTCCTAAAGGACACTGGACTGGTTGCCTACATATAGAAGTTCCATACATCTGCATACTTGCTCTTGCCATGAAACAACTCTCACATTTGCTGGCTAACCTCAGCCAGGTACACGACCTCAGCCCTAACTGCCCTAAGCCTGTAGGCAGCTGAACAGCTACCAACATCCAAAAGGAATAGAGAAAGCTCTGAAACACCGTTTCAGAAGAAAAAAGCAAGAGGCAGTGGTCCTGTCTGATTGATCACCTGCATACAATTTACAAATGCAAATTTTCTAGAAAAAAGAACTAATAGCTATCACACAATCATTCAGGGTTGCTCTCACTACATAAAAAAGTGCTTCTGCTGAGGAGGCCGATGAGGAAGAACTTCTTTCTGCAGCATATTTCACACAAAGAACAAACACTTGCCTCAGGCAAGAACTGTGAGTGTTATGGTATTGCATTTTTAAGTCATATTCACATAAATGCTGTTTAGCTTTCTAGAATTCTTATGTTAAACGTATTAGTAATTCATTCTACCATTCAAAATGCTATTTTACTGGCACGATAAAGGTTACTCACACATGTTTAAGAACTGGAACTGTTAAGCACTCCTTTCTACACAGATGGGCTTTTCCACAACCACAAAACCTTGCCTGTTCATGCCTCCACCCAGTGCTGAACAGAAGCTCGAGACTGAACCAGATTCAAATGCAGGCCTTCCACACACTGCTCCTGCACTCTCCTGAGGTGCTAAACTCAAACACCTATTAAAATACCAATTTTGCTATAACCCACAAGCTGGGCAAGCACACAGTGAGAAAAGGCCAATAAAAATACTATTTAAACAATATGTTCCTGCTTAGCTCAGAAATTTACAAATCCAGATTCATAGATCAGCAACTTTGAATGATCTAAAGCAAGTGATGCAGGGCTGGAGCACCTCCCCTATTAAGAAAGCTTGAGAGAAATGGGCTTATTTAGCTTGGAGAAGAGAAGGCTCTGGGGAGACCTCACTGTGGCCTTCCAGTACTTGAAGGGAACATATAAACAGGGGGGGGAATGGCTGTTTACAGGGGTGGATAGTGACAGGACAAGAGGAAATGGTTTTAAACTGAGACAGGGAAAGTTTAGGTTAGATATTAGGAGGAAGTTTTTCACACAGAGGGTGGTGACGCACTGGAACAGGTTGCCCAAGGAGGCTGTGGATGCCCCATCCCTGGAGGCATTCAAGGCCAGGCTGGATGTGGCTCTGGGCAGCCTGGTCTGGTGGTTGGTGACCCTGCACATAGCAGGGAGGTTGAAACCGGATGATCATTGTGGTCCTTTTCAACCCAGGCCATTCTATGATTCTACAAAAAGACACTAACTATATCATTAATAAGTATGGCTATCAAACAATGGATTTACTGAACAGTACTAAAACATTTTTAAAGAACTGAAAAGCAGCTGAATCTGTCCTTTTGATTGAGTTTAACTACTTCTGCTTATCATATGCTTTGGAAAAAGAGAAATAATTTCATTTATTAACAAGTTACATACAGATGGATCACGTTTGTGAAGCACATGTACCATAACACACAAATCTCACATGAATACCTTTTGGAGGACGCTTGCTGAGTTAATGTGATGTTATCAACAGAAAGCATCATGCTGCAAACGACTCACTCCGTAAGCATTACAGAACTCATGTTGGTTATTTCCTTAATATAAAAGCAAACAGTTAGTCGGGTTTCTTAATTACATTTAAAACACAGTTCTGTTAGTAATTGTAGTATGTGGCCAATTACTTAGAATTTTTCAATCTTTCATTGCTAAGCACTTTGAACTTAGCCTTACATCAGTTTTCTTTATGAAATGAGTTGGTAATTTTCAGAACAGCTAAAAGCATAATTCTTTGGATTATACAAAATAATAAATGTTCATGTTTTCAAGAACATGGAAATTAAGAGAATAAAATCTGTTTTAGTTGTAGTAGTCATATATCATATCTGTAAAGGGATGCTTCTGTCCACACACTTGATCATCCAGCAATGACAAGACAGAAACTGTGCAGAACTTCTGTATGCTGCATTTCTTTCATCTGTTGCTTCTTCTAAAAGAAATACAGCTGTTATTTCCATATGTTCCTCACTGAATATTTTTTTATTTGTTTGTTTGTTCTTAAGAAATTAGTGCATGATTGCAGGAGAATTCAGGGGAACAGCACTGGGCCCTCTGTATGTACCTCACACTGAAAATCAAAAAACACACATGAAAAAAGACTGACTGTGCTGTGTGACAGCACTGAAGGTTTTTGAAAACAGAACAGCAGAAAGGTAAATGACAGCTTTTTCCTTCAGCTTTCTCTGCGATCTGAGAGAAAGTATGTACATGGCCACAGCACAAAGGCAGTACAGCTCTTCAGACAGAGCTCACCTTGGTAGCAAACCCATCATTGGGCAGCAGCATTACACAAGAAAAACAAACTAACAAGTTATTTTGGCAAAAAGAAAAAAATAAGACGTTATGATTTAGTCAGGCAAAACATCTTTTATCAGCTGCAGGAGTCAAAATTCCACATTAATCAAAATGCAAAGAAGAACGAACTGATAGCATTTCCTGAGGTGTACTTCTACACTGCACTGTGAGTAACCCCCAATGCCTCCCCAGACATAAGAGAAACATTGTACTCCAGAGGCTGCTATCACACCTCTTGTTGCCAGTGATGTGGCAGTGGCACAGCCAACAGTTGTTCTCAGAGCATCTAAGAAATTTCCATCTCTCTCTTGAGCAAAGCACACACCACACACCAGAAAAAATACGATACACAAACCCAGAGACATACAACAGAAAAGTGTTTTTAACAAGTATTTGCTAAGAACGGGTACATCTCAGGAATTAATGTAATTACAGGTGGAAATGTCACGCATTTAGATTACTTTCTCCCAAAGCTGAAATAGTGGTGTAAGCGTTCTGCTTCTTGGCCTGAAAGAGAATTTTAAATCCAGCTAATTGTACAAATACACATTTACAACTTCTTTCAGGCTTCTGAGAGTGCCAATTTGTTTAAGTGCCTTCTATGCAAAGAACTGGCTTCAGCGCATGGAGATCTGCCTTGAAACAGGTGAAAAGCCAGCTGAGAGCTTATGGGTAAGAGATCAGAGAACAGACCAACACAGGCAACTTCACAGCAGGTATCTGCTTCCTGAACAAGAAGAGCAAGTAGATGGAAGCCTTCTTCAGATAGCTGGATGATGTCCCACAGTTGAAGGCCTGGATGCTTGGGAGCTCTGACTGCCCATGTCTGGTGGCAGCAGTGCCAGGCACGAGCAGGCCAGGAGGTTTCTGGAGACTGTAGTAGACAATTTTCTTGCAGGAGCGATCGATGAGGCGACTAGGGGAGGTGCTCCGCTGGACCTGTCACTGGCGAACAAGGAAGAACTCATCAGGGAGGTGAAGGCTGATGGTAACCTTGGTTGCATCTTCCAGAAGCTGGTGGATTTTAAAGATACTAAGAGAGGTGTGCAGACAAACAGGAGAGTTACAGCCCTAGATTTGAGGGCAGCGGACTGCAGCTTAGTCAGGGATCTACTCGGTAAAACAATGGGGCCATGGTCTGCAAGGGCAAAGAGACCCAACAACGGCTGGCTGGTCTTCAAGGACACCTTAGAACACAAGGACAGTTGATTCCCAAGTGCAGAAAGTTGAGCAAGCGTGGCAGAAGGCTGTCACAGAGGTACAGGAAAGTTCTGACAGAGCTCACACACACGTACAAAGTGAGAGCAAGGATGAGCTCAGGAAGAATACAGAAACATGGCCCACACATGCAGGGATGGAACCGGGAAAGCCAAAGCTCAGCTGGGCTTGGATCTAGTGAAAGACAACAAGAGCTTCTCCAAACACAATGGCAACAAAAGGAAGACCAGGGAAACTACGAGGCCATGGCTCAGAGGGGCACAGGATCTGGGGAGAAAGCAGATGGAAAAGGCTGAGACAATCCACATCTTTCTTGGCTCAGTTTTTAAACTGGTGAAAGTTTGTCCTGAGGCTTCCCAGGTCTGCAAGTGTAGTGGCAGAGACTGGGAGACTGATACTTTACTTACAGTCAGCAAGCCACACAAGCCACACAAGAGACTTTGGAACTTCCTGTTCTGCATCCACGAGCACTAAGGGGGGGCTGAAGGAATTGTGAGGCCACCTCTATCACCTTTGAAAGGTCACAGCAATCAGAGAAGAGGAAAAAGGTGAATGTCATGTCCATTTTTGAAAAGGACAAGGAGAAAGATCCAGGGAACCAGTGTTCTATCAGCCTAGTCTCAGGTTCCCAGAAAGATTCTGGAGCTTATATTCCTGGAAGCTGTGTCAAAACATATGAAGGGCAGGAACATCGCTGGGAACAGCCGCCGTGGATTTACCATGCTCAGATTGTACCCCACCAACCTGACCACCTTCTGTGGTGAAATGACTGGCCCTGTGGATGGAATGTAGTAAATGTTGGATCATAACAAGGCCCCAGGCAGCTTGCCATCAAATCCATCCAGTGAAATTGTTGACTGGACTACAGCATGGGCGTAAACTGGTAGGATTGCTGAAATCACAGATAGTGAACAGCAGTACAACATCCAGCTGGCAGCTGGTTACCAGCAGTGCCCCTCACAAGTCAGTACCAAGGCACATAAACTTCAGCATATCTTTATTAATGACCAGGGTGATGAAACAGAAACAGAAACTCTGGCTAATTCATTCACAACAGCCACATAAAGAGGGAAACCATATCCCAGAGGACAGAGCTGTCAGTCAGATGGGGCATTCAGAAGCTGGACAAATGACATGAGGTTCAGAGTCAAATTCCTGCACCTGAGACACTACAGGCTAAAACAGCATTATAAGTTGGGCACTATTTTGTTTGTAAAGCAACATTTCAGAAGCAGACCTGGGGGTCCTGGTGGACACCAAACCAAATACAAGTCAGCCGTGTGCCTCTGCAGTGAAGAAGGTCATTCACAAATTGTGCTGTATTAGCAAAAGCACAGCCAACATATTGAAGAAAATGGTTATTCTCCTGGATGTGGAGTGCTGTGTCCAGTTTTGAGCTCCCCTGTACAAGACAGACAGACATACTAGAAAGAGTACAGTGAAAATAACCAAGGTGGTCAGGCTGGAGCACATGGCATCCACGGAGAAACTGTGAGAACTGGGTGTGCTCAGCCTTACAAACAGAGGACTCACAGAGAATCTTACTGTTGTCTCCATCTACCTAACAGAACAGCAAAAAGAAGACAGTCAGATTCTTCTCAGAGGCATGCATTGAAGAACAAGGGAAACAATCGTAAGCTGCAGTAAGGGAAATGTTTTTCACCACGAGGGTGGGAAGGTGCTGGAATGGGTTGCTCAGAGAAGGTGTAGGATGTTCAACCATGAAAATATTTTAAGCTGTGAGGAACACAATGGAACAATTACATGGTAAAGTATTTTTTTTCCCTTAACTTCAGCAGAATTTAGCCACAATAAATAATTGCCAGTGATTCTTTCCCTCATACATCTAAATTCTAACTACTCAAGAAAAAAATATTCCCTGAGTCAAAGTAAATAATACTATGTGACCCTTTATTATTGCTAAACAGCTTATATTTAGCAATAAACATAAAACAGACAACTGAGCATCTTCTGTTATGCTGTTGTTGCTGTTTTTAAAAGCTGCTTTCTGAGTTCAGACTATTGTTAAAGTTTAGATTTGGGAAAATTAAAAGTAAACAAGATCAAAAGCCTAGAAAGAATTGTTTAAAAGGATTCTTAAAGGAATAAATTCCTAGACTGGAAGCTAAAGGTCAGACATGGCTTCCCTCACTTTGTTCCGTACTGATCCCATCATACAAAGCACAAGGAAGTAGAGCCTGGCAGCACATTTGGAGATTTTCCAGGTGGCCTCAAAATTAGTTGTGCACCATCCCTCTCCAGATGCTGCCAACACAAACTGCCTCAGAGGAAATGCAGAGCACCCCGTTGATGAGGGTAAGCGTATTTTAACTTCTACAAGCACTAGTCACAGACCAAAGGAGATTGCACTGTGACAGGCACTGTGCATTGACACTATTTGGTCCACTGCTATAAACATTCCATATTATATCTATACATCCACATTGTACTGCAAAGGATTACAATACACATTGCTTTTTCCACTGTCTACATGAAGTAGCTTCAGTTAGCATACTAAGCCGTAGGCATTTACAGATTCACTACTTTCCTACACTTGGCTGGTTTACAGCAGCATCTCATAAGCTACATTCTGCTTCCACTGAAGACAACAGAAGTTCTACAACCATCTTCAGTGATCAACCAAGCTGTGTTCAAAACTGGTATGAACCATTTCTGAGCACTCACGAAGAGAAGATGAAGAGGAAGTCCCACGAAGAAACATCTGCAAGCCATCCTCACTGTCACTGGTACTGGCCATACTGTTCCTCATCTGCATCACAGAGAGCTGTGAGCAAAGACTTGGCTGCCGATCAATCTTTTTTGAGGCCTTAAAAAAAAAAAAAAAAAAAATTAAAAATTAGAAAAGGGATCAAGTAAATTAAAAATTAAAACAGAAAATAGCTATTTCTTCTGTAGTTGACAGTTTGGTCTCAGCTGTGACTTTAAATCACGGAACAGCAAAAGATTCTATGCAGTGTAAATTGATTTAATGCAGATACAAGATGCCAGTAATACACTGGAGTTAGAACATCAACAGCCATGAATTATTCACTTTTAATTCTTCTTTGTACTGACTTTAAGGTATTTTCCTACAGACAAATTTCTTTTTATTGTCTGGCAATTCATCACTAAGTTACTGCAATCATATAGGGCTTTCATGACATTTTACCTTATGAACTGGCTCTTGATTCTGATGAAAACAAATGAAATGCATTGTGTGACCATTACTCTCTATGCAAAGACCTTGGGATTATTTTCCATTTACTTGGAGCACTCCGAGATATCCAATATCACATTTATATGAAACAATACATTGTATCTCATTAGGTATTATTAAGAGTCAGAAGGACACCTGTACCCAAAAGGTACAATGTGCATGACAAATGCATACTGTATAACTCAATTCTATTGAACTTTATTTAACAGTCAAGAATTACCACTTCATTTCATGTAGAATGATGGTTTTCTGAAGTCTTTGTGATGCATCAGTTATAATAGTCTTTCATGCAACTACCTTCTCTAAAATTAAGGAGCTGCTGCAAACTAAAGTGAAAATATCATTTAATGAAAAAATATACATAAGACTGTGAAGCCAAATATCTGTATATTTGTGCGAGCTCTTCTAAATGACTCATGAATGAAATATATACTCAGTGTATAAATAACTCCAAGCTGCTGTTAGCTGGAATAAAGTTAAAAGGAACTTCTCTGTTCATACTGACACAGCTGCATGTCATGAAGCCATATTTGAACCCTATAAGGATAAACACAGACAGGGTAAATAAAGAAAGTCAAAGTCCCTTTCAGCCCTGATCTCACCTAGCCTGATGGGCTGGGCATCTATTTGACTTTCCAGGCTCTGCAGATACAACTGAACATCAATCAGAAGAAGCATTTCGAATAGTGAGGACTGCCACATGATGACAGCAATACCTGCACTTGCAGCACAATACAAGGATTTGATATTTGACAGGTATGATAAGGACTTTTCACTTAAAAATCAATGAATTAAACTCTTACACTGAGTATTTCATGTGGTATACTAATGCTAAATACTAATGCTAACTACTAATGCTACAGTTTTGTTGTGCCGGATGTCAGCAACACAAGTGTCTTGTGGATAACTTTGCACACCAGGCACAATAAGAACATCCTAGTGTACCTGGAGTCATCCACGCATTAAAAAGAAGAGAATGATACATGGGGCGGATAAGCAGAGAGAAAGGTAGAGAGAAAAGAAAATAAACAGGAAGTAGAAGAAAAGAAAAAAAGATGAGGGAAAAAAAAGAAAACTGATAAGGAACATGGGAAACAGCAGTCACCTTGGAGATACTGGCTGAATGCAACCCATAGAGCACAAAGGAGCATGTTGCTACATGTTTGTTCCAGTTGCCATACTCCAGAAATGACTTTCTACACAAGTATTTTTCTTTTTTTTTTTTTTTTTTTTTTTTTTAATACAGTACATCTCTCTCCTGTTTTCTTGCCATCCTTCCACCATCCCCCCTCCAAAAAATAAGTTAACCACATATTTTATAAGAAGTACATTATAGATGGTATATATATTCCTGCTAGATCACTTATCTTCTTGCATTAGTAAGACTTACAACCCCAGATGATGAATGAAAACAAGGACCTGCAATAGTCTTGAGGATCTAACTGCACAACAGGGTAACCCTCTGTTTCAGTGACCAGTATAATTTTGTAGGTCCTTAACCAGAAGGCAGAACAAGCAGTGCTTTAACAACTGTCCTTCCAACACTCCTTTATTTTTCTCTTTCTATAGCCTACAGAAAATTCAGAAAACTTTCAGTATTTAATTAATCATAAATACATTACAAAATATATCAGTAGGCTTCACGTGTAAAGAAGCAGTGGCAGCCACTCCTTTTGAGTCTTTTTTCCAGTATATTCATAACTTTGCAGAAATAACTATTTAACATATATTTATAAATGGGCAACGCGATAAGGATTTTTGCTTTGAGTTGGTGCAAGTTAATAAATACAGAATATGAAAACACCATATTAACATTTTCCAAGCTTTTCATAAATGATGGTGAAAGTTCTTCAAGTAAATTATGTATGAGAATCCTACAGCCAGTACATAAAGAATAAAAAAAACCCCACTACCAGCAGCCGAGTGGCATTTCTTGCAAATGTTGAAAAGCCCTGTAACTATGGAAGGAGACAAAGTGAAAGTAAAGTAAGATAATAGGATATAGACTACAATAGATATAGACTACAAATAGGCCACTTACCATGATACCTAAAACATTCAAAGAAGAATGAGTTACAGAGTCCTTAGCAAAGGTATTTATACAGATTTCATGTCTTTTCCCAGTGACTATCAACCCGACATTTCCCTTTTTCCCTCTTATATTTACAACCTGCAAACACACTTCAATGTTATTTTTCTTGGCAAGATGTATTAATGCAGCTGTTTGATTCCAGCACAGGAGTTCTTTTAAAAATATCCTGAAGCCTCTTTGTACAAAGGTACCCATTTATTAGTAAGAGAAGATATCCAGGGAGAAGCACCTTTAATCTGCTGGGCACCACGTCCACCAGTATCAGTAGCTGACAAGAACACTGCACTGACACACACCTTGGCATTAAAAGGCAACAAATATGAATTCAGCAGCCTATAGTGGCAGATTAAAGAAAAAATAAAAGGTACTTTAAAGTTGAAGCAATGATACATGTACTTGTGTGTAAATTCCAAAATGAAACTGCAGTTGCTTACCTTGTCATTTAAGGTCGGGTCATTCAATGAATAGAGTTTATTTGTAATATCTTTGCCAATAAGATACTTAAAGATCTCATAAAGAAATGGCTCAGTTTCCAGAAAGTATGTCAGTCTTTCTCTGGACCAGCAAAGGAACTTGCAATTATCATCTGCAATAATGGTGACCTGAGAAAACACACATGGAATTAGCTCTTCTCTTTTGCTTGCAAATAAGTGCTACCATTCCATTTGTGCCTCTAGTTAAAATAAATTTAAAGCCATATAACTTTTTGATATCCCTTAGAAAATTGTATTTACAAATGTAAATCTTCTCAGATGGTTATCATCATCAGATTTTATCTGATAAACAGACCAGTTTGTTTTTCAAGAAATCTAGTGGGAGATAATATGAAGGGGAAATCTCTCAGAAGTCCAAAACAGCAAACATTTATGTTAGAATAGATTTATACACAGAGTCAGTCCTGTACTGATGACACATCCCAACAGGCCTGCTACTTGGTTTTAATTCCTGTGACTGTGCCCAAGTAGGAAGAACTGGTGCAAGCCAAAGGTTTCCATGAAAGAGTTTAAAAAAGGATACAGTAAAAAACAAAACATAATGCCTTTTTCTCTTCTACCTCAGACCTCTGGATCTCACAAGCACTGCCTTGCACTTGGATCAGGCACCCATTGGCTTAGGTACTGACAATTCTGCTGTGGATGGCTGCAGTCAAATGAGGTAAGCTGTAACACCTACAAATTCCTGGTCACTTGTCCAGCTATGCCAGAGGAGGGCAGTGGCAGACAGAAATCAGCTCTGGGATGTTGCAACTGCATGCTTTGCAAAAGGAGTTCAGAAGAATTTATGAAGTGTCCTATCACAAACTACCTTTATCTAAAATATTTATATACATACACATGTAATATAAATACACACACACACACGTATGAATATATATATAAAGCCTAAGATAAAATGGAAAACTGTCACATACACTTGAGTTTTAACTTTACAGTCTGTGACAGAGGAATATCAACTTGGGAAAAACTTGGCAGCATTGCCAGCAGATGGAGTCCCTAGGACAAAATTTTCATCCTGTGTTGATGGTGCTGCCAAGAACATTTGTGTCAAAGCAAACTGCAAGCAAACCTCACAAGTGAAGGATACACAAAGCACCAAGACTGCAATAACTTTCCAGGCAGGCACAAGGAGGGGCGTGAGTCTTTACCCCTTCAGTAGAACTGATTCATATCTAGTAACTCATGGGAGAAATAGATGGTATCAATAGGGTACAGCACTGCTGGACGCCTCGCTGCCACGAAATGAATATGTCCTGACAACCATCTCCCTCTGGCACTAAGCCTACTGCTTGACTGGAACGTGTTGCATCAATCACTGATTTTAGATTCTGCCCTACTCTTCCTGCCTCCTCCTCTGCCACAGTATCAGCAGGGATGTATCCAGTCCAGCCACAGGCAGTCAATATTACACATGCAGTTGAAGAATAGCAGGAGGTAAACAGTGATTTCAGTACTATGTGGCAAAAACCCTCTCTAATAGTAGTATCTTTACCACAAGCTACTGTATAATATATTCATTAACATTCTAGTATAATTACATTGCTGGAGATATATACTCCTATTGCTCCACCTCTAAAGATATATACTCCTGTTGTTCCCGTAGGAAGATTTTAATTCTGGACAGTGCAACCTCTTTCAATTCATGCTGCTTTAACAACTTTCAGATGATTCTTTCCTGCATTTTTAAAATCTTTCATTTTAGTAATGAATTTAGTAATTACATTATACCATAATTAATTTTCCTATTCTGTTTTTGAACTAGCAACAAGACTACTCACATCGTCACTTACCTCAGCAAAACTCTCACCTATAAATCAGTTGCAAACAGTAAAATGAAAGAGAACAACAGGAAAAGACACAGTAAACACCATCATGATACTGTTTCGCAGCGTTTCATTTTAAAGGTTACTCTTGACATGGTCCAGCATCAGACACCAGTATTAGCAAGCCAGCAAAACTACACAAACCAAACAGTTCAGTATTTCCTGAAATTATTTGGGGTTTGTCGCTGTCAGTTTTGTTTGTTTGCTTTGAGTTTTTGTGTGTTGTGTTTGGGTTTTGCTTTGTCTTGGTTATTATTATTATTATTTTTAATTGCCTCATTAGTTCCCATCCAATGACATTTAGGCCAAAGCGTACCTGGAATTTTTCACCCCGGTTCATCTGAGTTGATCGAAATTCAGGTGAGTCTATAAAGGCACAGGGGTAAATATTATGCAGAAAATGCCCTCGATAAGAAACCTTCATTCTAGAAATAAAAAAAGTGTGAAACATCATTTCAGAACCATGGAGGTTGAATTATTTTATTAAAACTGAATGTGATTACTGGCAATGGTAATGCAGGAGGCTAAACAGACTGAAGTATGTACATCTTCTGGAGTTGGAGTCAACCTACTTTCTGCCTGAACCTCCACCAAATCCAGACGTAAGGTTAGCAGCCGATTCTGGTTGCCTGATGTGGTGTGCACATCAAAACACAACTGTCAAAAAGGAAAAAAAGATCTGAAGTGTGATGCTCTAAATCCAAATCAGAATCAGGCTTCCTTTAGATAACTAGTTTCAGGAATAAGCTGCTAATGACTTTAAAGAAAAGTGATAAAACCTGATGTCTGCACAGAGACTGCTTAAAATTTTGGGCATAACTTAGCAAGAACCTTAAGATCACAGCCTGGATGTGGTAATTTATTTTACCCTTTCTCATTTGGGTCTGCCAGCTAGGTCTGAGCAATGCACCTTCCCCCTTTCTGTCTGCATGTATAAAGTGCAATCAGCTAATTTCAACAGGCCTCTTGGTTTAAAGCCTAATGGATGGTTATTTTCTCTTTCCCTCATTCACAGTACCTTTTAAACTTAAAACCTGAGAAAGCACTGAGGAAAAGTCTTAGATGCCTAACACCAGAACAAGCTTCTTGTTTGCTCTGAAAGACTCTTCTATTATAAGAATGTAACCCCCATTAGAATCAATATGGCTGTACACACACATGGAGGCACAAAGTTTTTGCATTAAGAGACACCACAGCCATTTGAAATAGTACCAAAAATAGCATATGGATGTATACTATGTGGCGACAGACCATCATAGGCAACAAACAGTAACATTTAAAAAAATTAACACAAATATCCATCAACTTTCTCATGAATTCAACCACCACACAACTCATAAGAAGCTTTATAGCACCTACTTCCCCTTCAGCAGGATGCTTAGCCTGTCATCAACTGATGTTTTATCCTCTGCAGCATAAGCTTGACCTGCCTTCAAAGTCTGAATGTTGCAGAATTGCCCAGTTAATCTTTGGAATAGCTCTGGAGGCACATGGAGTGGTTCAAACATTCTCTTGTACAGGCTGCTGAGCTCCTTCTCTATCTTGATCTAGAATGCAAACAAAAAAGACATCAATACAGAGAGACAGTGTAGCCAAGAAAGGGTAATACTGCATGCATGCTTTAGCTGCTAAATCTGAGTAACATCTTTGTGTTCCTTCTGTTCAGGCAACAAAATAACTGGTAAATGCTACATCTATCCACAATGCTGCCTATGACAGGGTGACCAAAACCTTACCTAAAACTGCAACTCCAGCAATCTGGTGCTTCAGAAACAAACATTTCATATAAAAAGTATGGTAAAACAAGCACATGGAATCTTTTGAGACTTCTGATCTAGCAGTGCATAGAACTTGCACCAGATTTACACAGGAAAATAATGAGATTGCCTGTACTTCCCACACCATGCCCACAACTCATTTTGGCCATCTCTTGGGCTTTTCTGGGAATCTTTCATCCCTTACTTCTTGGCTTACCTGCAGCAGAAAAGCAGGACTGAGTCCTATAAAACAAACCCATCATTACAACACGTGTGTTGAGGGAGAAAAATACTACTACCAGCTGAACATCCCATATCTAAGAGCCCACCCAAATCCATGCAGCAGCAGTGAGGGAAAGGAAGCTGGCTGAAATACCAAGCCTGGAGATCTTTCCTGAATGAAGGCAGCAGGGAATAGGACAGAGTTCTGGCCTTCCCGAAAGCAGAGAACAAACAAATTAGAAATAAGCACCAGATTATGAAAAGATAACATAAATAGAACAAAAACAAAAACAAAAAAAAAAAAAAAAAAAAAAAAAAAAGGAAAAGCAAGAAAGAAAAATGGTAGAAAAAGAAAACAAGTTACCACTTCAACAAATGAGAATGTTCCAAGTTTAGACTTGGAATCTATTCTTCTAGATTATTTATTTAATTTTTGTATTTCCATATTAAAAATAGGGGAGAATTAAGCAACAGCAAAGTCCAGGAGTCAATTTTCAGCTCATGGTAGCAAACAGAGCAAACTGAGAAGCTCCTGAGTATTCTGTACCTGGAGTAGGATGCAGTCCAAAATGATTAAGTCTCTGGACTAACTAAGGCTCACAATGACTTCAAACTCTGAAGTACATACAATTTCCTCCCCAGAAAGCTATTTTAGGGCAAAAAAATATTCATCTTCAGCCCTAAGAGATTAATGCTTCACATCAAAAACTCTCCCTGTTCTGGTAGAATTACATCTGAGTGCTGAACAGTGAATCAAGCATAATGAAAGACTTTGGAAAACTCATGATATTTGACCTTTATTTACTTCTAGAGCAAATTGAGCTGAAGCAGAAGCTTTACAGATTTGTGGAACCATATTTGAAGGATACCACCCATCGCCTCAGCTACTGGATCTACCCATCCCACATATAGGCAACAGAAGCCCATGGCTGTTCTTTGGAACTGACAAACACGTAGGCAGAGATGGTGAGTTCATCCCACAGAAACAGTATACAGCTACTTATTAAATTTCTACACAGGAAGAGATAAAGCTGCTTAGGTGACCTTGACATTACCACTTCATGACATCACAAAATGGTCTTCACAGCCTTCGTTTTCCATAAAATTTTAACAAAATAGTATCCCAAACCTGTAGACTTACCTTCTAACCAAAAAACGACGCATAGAGAAATAATGGTTATAACCCACTGAAATTTTTATGCAGCCTTACTGCAAAACAGACACCAATACCTGTTTTCAAAAGCTCAAATTAAAAAATTCCTCAAGAACTTCTGCGAACTTTCTTTTCATTATACATAGCAAAACTTACTATTAACTTTGTGAACACTTACCACCCAAAAATATATTAAAATGTTCAGGTTTTGTTCATTTACTTTTTTGATCTGTTCATACATATGCTTCAACCAAATGTCACTTACTGTCTCCTCAAAACATTTCATTAGATTTATTTCATTACTTTATATTTTGTTACACGGATTTCCTTTTCCTATACTACCAAAGAATATACATGCCATAGAAATGCTACCAGGACAGTGAAAAGGATGACTGGAATGAAACTGTTTGCACAGTATTAGCAATAAACTCAAAGAATCATAGAATGTCTCAGGTTGGAAGAGATTTCTTCCATCCTGTCCAAGTCTCTGCTCAAGCAGGGCCACTTAGAGCAACACCACCCAGTACCTTGTGCAAACAGCTTTTCAATACCGTCAAGGATGGAGATTCAACCACCTCTCTGGGCAACCTGGGCAAACACTCTGCCACTTGCACAGCAAAAAGTGGTTCCTGGTGTTCAGATGTTACCTCTCGTGTTCCATTTTGTGCCCATTGGCTCTTGCCCTCATACCAGGCACCACTGAAAAGTGTCTGGCTCTGTCCTCGCTGAAACTTCTTCTTCAGTATATGTACACACTGATGAGATCTCTGAGCTTTCTCTTCCCCAGGCTGAGCAGTCCCAGCTCTCCCAGTCTCTCTTCATAGGCTGTGGTCTCTTCTCCATCATGCCCCCCTGCTGGGCTCCTTCCATTATGCCCATGTCTCTCATGCTGGTGACTGTCCTGAACTGTATGATTTCAAAGTATGTTCCACATACACATGACATTAGGCAATTTGTTTTCCCCACAACCTTGAGGAACTCCCTCATTCTTAACAGACATATCAATTTAATTTGTACCTGTGCCTATCCATCACCACTGCAACTGAAAGAGAGACAAATTCCTTCCTCAAATGAATACAAGCAGCTCCCAAGACTCCTGAATCCAAAGCAGCGCATGCAGAGAGGATTTGGCCCTGGAATGCTGATCGTTCCCTTAACTGAGTACACAATTCCAATTTCATGATCTTCCTCTAACATTTAACACTTATAAGAGAAAGAAGGCACTCCTACTTTCCTAGAGATTGACCAGGTTGAGCAGTGTAGGTATGCTTCAGATAGTCTTGCTCGTAACAGACTATTCACCCTTCACATGCATAGCTGACTACTTCTCCAGTCATGCTCATGGGTCGTATTCCAAATGAGCCATACGGGGAGGTGTGATGTTTTGTTCAGCAGTGGTTGAAATATTCTGGGATCCTGCCAAAGCTCCAAGTCAGAGCTCTGTACAGACACTGAATAGAATCCTTCAGCTTCCACTCAGACTAAAAAAGCCAAATCTGTAAAGCTCCAAGGAATCAAACGCACAGAAATAATCTTCTAGTCAGAAAAGAAACTCACTGCATTTTGCATGCTCCATTTAATAAAATAAATATTTAACAACTGGAAATATTAATTATTCATTTTGTAATATCGCTAGCTTGTAATTATTCTTCCATTCTTTTCTTTCCTTAAAAATGTAATTTGTGAGGATGACTAAATAAAATTGATTTTGAGATGGGCAATAAAACAGAAGCAGAATGAAAAAAACTCATTCAAAATCAGTTCCTAATAATTTCTTTTCTTCCTTTTTAGGCATTTTCCAGCTTTCTGTAGAATAACATTTAAACTGCCTTACAGTTCACAGTAGATAGAATATATCAAACAGCTAAAAAGATGTGTGACTATCACACATCACTTCAAGTAACCCTGTTGCTCATAGCCTGTAACAAAGTGATTCAGACACTGTTTGGGATGCTACCCTGTTTCCATGTAATTTCCACCATGTGATTGAATGAAGAGTTGAAGAGAATGAAAAATGAAGAGTTCTGCTTCCAGAGACACTGACAAACCATAGCACCACACCTGCAGCGGTGGTAAGAATACAAACTTCCTGAGAACCAGACCACAGATCCCAGTACCGTTTAGATAAGCATTAAGTTATCTGACTTCTTCCCTATACTGCTACAAAACAGCAAGGAAATACAATCAAACTACTACATAAACACAGGTTAGTAGTTAGCAATAGCTGTACAGACTTATCTCAAGCCAAAGGAGAGGGAAGGCAATACCACACCTCCCAGCAGCTGTTAGGTACATGAGTTGAATTACACTGGACAACTAGCTTAAGCTGGATGTGTAACTTGTAGATGGAGTCACCTTGTTTCTCTCTAACTCCACATTCCTCTTTCGTAAAGTAAACTACTGTCTCAGAAGTAGAAACCACAAGTAATTATTTGTGCTCTTTGAAAGTGCTCTTAATTGTTAGACTCGAGTTATTACATGATTCATTTAAGAGGCCTTTCATTTCTGGAATGAACTACGCAGTACTTCAGTATCAGTATGTGAGAGAGTACCTAAGAAAACAGCTGATGCCTACGTAGAGCACCTTCCCATTACAGGCATTTGATATTCCTCCTACATTTTAACATTTGTTTCCTGCACACTTCTGTCTTTAGAAAGCGGTTCAATACTGAATAAGATTGAAGGAACTAAAGATTTACTAAAGGCACAGGTGGTAATGGTTTCAAGATTTAATTTGATCTCTATCTAAGATAATAGAGAATGTCAAGGGCTTGTCATTCATTCTTAAAGTCAACTGTACTGACATTTGTTTGAAGACAACTCTTCCGGCACTAGTGTCACTCTCAGCAGAAGCGTTTACAAAGGCTTCACACAGAATATGATTCCAGCAGGATCCCTCATTTAATTCTTTAGATCTGGTCAAGACCCGGAGTATGGAACTGTGGGTAACAATGTCAACTGGGTGCTTCAGATTCACTGCTACAACAAGTATTTTGGAAGTTGAGTGTGCACGTCTACAAAGTTCACTGTTAAACAATCTCCACTGATCCCTGTAGAAGTTCCCAGCAGATTTTTTTTATTATTTATTTATTTTTAAACTGAGAAGCCCAGAACTGGACACAGTACTCCAGATGTACCTCATGTCACATCCTGCCCATATGGGAAAGGAAGGGGTGACCCCTCACCAGGGCAAAGTAGAGGGAGAGAAGAACCTTCCTCAACCTGCTGGCCACGTTCTTTTAATGCATCCTAGGATATCACTGGCCCTCTTGCCCACAAGAGCACACTGCTAGTTCATGGTCAACCAATTCAACAGGACATCAGGTCCTTCTCTGCAGAACTGCTTTCCAGCAGTTTACCTGTCTTTTCCAGCCCCTAACCTGTACTGATGCACGCAGTTATTCCTCCCCAGGTACAGGACTCTGGGCTTGCCCTTGCTCGATCTAAGTTTCCTCTCCAACCAAGAGATTATTTCCAGCAGTTCTGTTGTATCAAATGTTAAACGCTTCTGGAAAGCATTCGATTTTAAGTTATTCTTAAATAAGCAAGGTTACTCTGCTCAAAACCTGACAAAAAAATCTGACACCACATATTCCTGCAATCTTCACATTACAAATCCATATGTCTTAAACTCTGCAGACCACAGAATGTAATACTAACACTTGGAACACTCAGCACTTCATTAAAATTTGAGTGGTATGTAAAAGCAAATATTATATTACACGTTACCTAGTTTTGACATACATATACCAGCAGAAAGTTGGGTTGCTTATCATTCTGCAGAGACAGAAAATGCAACTCTGGATGAATAATAAAAACAAAATACCTTTCTATTGGATATACATTTAGCTGAATGCAGGGCAAAGTATCCTCTGGTTTTGGTATGCATTTCCAATATACAATTATGGTGCATTTGAAGGGAGGTATTTTAATGCACCATTTTGAAGGCAATGAAGGGAGTTGCAAAATTCTCAGCCATGACTCTCATAACTCAATGAATACAATAAATGAGCTAAAAGAATGCATAAGATGAGGAAAGGGCAAGAAGATTCTATTGTTTCCTTTTAAAAGCAACAGCAGAATCTGATTTATCTTATTTGCATTTTAAAAGAACATGACAGAAAAAATGTATGGATTAGCACACTTGTGTGCGAAGTGATGAGTATGAAGGTCATTCATAAATATCAAAATAAGAGTCTGCTTTGGAAACTTCTAATTTACCAGTCTCCTTTCCCATCACAGAGGCTATTTATGACTTAAAAATCAGATAGGAATGTTTTGCCCCTCCCAAACTCCTTAGTTTAAGCAATTACTGTTCTGGAATGCTCAATTTTAAATATCTTAGTAAGACTTTTATTTCAGGAGATCGATGTGCATTTACAAGTAGAAAGGTGGGTAAAATTACAAAAGACAGAAACAAGGGGAACCCAAAAGTGTTCCTGGTCTCTTGGCTAAGAAGCTAAGTAACTTTTCCCTTACTATCAGAAGAAAAAACAGCCAATAAAACAACCACTTTTCAAGAATATGGATTTCAAGAAAATATGTACTGAATGAGACTGACTGACAGCATTCTAATGGCCTGGATCCAACAACTGGAGTTGTTGGTTGACTTAATTCAGAACAACTCCTGCAGAATTCAGTGATAGGTTTGTCCAGCAAATATGGTCAAAACTTTCTTTTTCTTGCATCTTACTAGCCTGCTTTGTGCAGTGTAGCTGATGTACATACCGGTCTTCTTTTATACACTAAGTATATGAAGTGTAAAAGGTTGACCACCAAAAACACAGAATTCCAGATCATTATGTCCAAGGCACAACGGTAGAGCGTAGCCCAAATGATGAACAATGCACATCCTGTAAGAAATTAAAAAAGGAAATTCAATGTCACTGGCTAATAAACACATTCTCTTATAAAAATCATCAAGAGTTTGTCCACTAAGTGCAAATACACCCAAAAGTTTTACTATAGTTAGGCTCTGTGAATCAGCACATGCAATGGTAGCATGAGTAATGACTACAATGCCATCAGGAGGCACTGGGTCTGCAGTCCTGCCATACAAGGCTACAATACTGAAGCAACAAGAATTCAGGAAGGGAATGGGGAGAGCAGAAAGGTGCAGCCCATCATGGCCTGTTATTAAAAATCACATTAAAAAAGCAGCTTACAAAACTTGATTAGTGCATTAATTAGACAAACAATGGCCTAGAAACAAATGTTCATTATCTGTATCAGAGACATTTATGTCTAACTAGGGAGCTGTATTTGCACAAAAATCTCCTGAAGTCATGCACAGATATTTTTGAAAATGAACAGGAAAGCATCATCACTGTATTTTGACAAAGTCATGGCAGAAACTAGAATCCTCTGGTGTGACATCAAAGAGAAATTTTCAAATGCTTATTCTTTTCCAGTTACTTTGTTTTGAATAATGACAATTGTTTTACAAGATAAGGCATGCTTAATGATCAGGGATGTTATTTTTAGCCTACAAAGACAGATTATGCATCAGTGAGCCCCCTGCAGATAAATGTGAAACAACTGGCCAAATTCAGCCATGTCCAATAGAGATGGATGTAGACAGATATATTTCCCCTTAATATTCATGCAGAAGAAAAGGGATCAGATATGCAATTAAATTTCCTTTTCCTGTCTTTCCCTGAAGGTAATGCTGAATATGAACTCAATATTCTGTATGGGTGTCTGGCCAGGCAGCACGTACATATGGATCAGAAAAATCAACATGTGATGGCCCTTGATCAGCTGCTAAATTAAACTAGGAAGAACTGAGGACGTTAAGCCTGGAGGAGTGACACTGTGGAGCAGCAGAGGACAAATATCAATAGGGACCAGATCTTCTGCTGCCCACAGATTAAATTTGCTTCCAGTTGCCATCTCATCTTAACAATTTTTTTTTTTCCTGTATCTGTTCAAAATGCAAGAAAACTTATGGTTCAAAGCTCTCCAGAAAAAACCTTACTTATTATAGATGATTTACTAAGCCAGAGCATCAGCCAATGAATAGTCCCAGCATTTACTTGAAGCCTAAAAGGTAAGGTCTTTAAGATATAAGGATTTCAATGCAATTTGGAATTCAATTCACTTTAAGCAGCTAGAGAAGTTTAAAGTAAATGCAGCACACTTGTTTTTAAGTCAACATCTATGTAGTTTTGAAGTTGTAAACTGCATCTCTGTGAAATTTTAAGATAAATAACCATTCTGAAAAATATCTGTCTGGGTCAGAATGGTCCTTGCCTTCAATAAAAACAACTTCAGCAGAACACAGAGTACATGGATACATGCTGGAATTTCACTGTGACCTGGAGATGCCCCTGTAATACTCCCCTGCTTCTGCCACAGGCAGGGTGCAAACTTCTCTGTAAGAAGTCACCTACCTATGGAGAGCAAACCTCGCAGAAAAATCATATGAAGGTTCAGAGTAGTTGGAATAACCAGGCCAGCTGCAAAACAAATATTTGCCACGTGGAAAACAAGATGATGGATCTCCTTCCAGTTTTCACATGCAGTCTCATTGAAAGGCACAGAAGTGGCATTTTTTAAGTCTGGAATAACGCCTAGTGGAGTGAGTGGGCTGACTGCTGTAGTGTCCATCTTGAAGAATCCTGCAAAGAGAAGACAAAAAACAAAAACAAAACAAAACAACAAACGCACATTAAACTGAAACATTCATGGAAAAATGCTTTTCAAGGGCAACCTGGACCTAGACAGTTCAGTAACTTTACTCTCTCTTTTTCACCTAAGTGTTAAGCTTCAAGAATAGTCCACTTCAAATTTTGGAAGCCATGCATAAACAACATTGTTTGAACACTAGCTACTATAACTCACATTGCTCAGTGAAACATGCAGGGTATTGCTCCATGCCCTACACAAATAAGAATCACCTTTTTAGTCTCCAATGTACTGAATGGCTCCAAGATCACAAAGTCAATAGATCACAAGGGGAAATTAACCTGCATAAGACTTCAAAGCAAAAAAGGGTTCTTCAGTGTAAAGTTTCCTTAAAACACAGCAGAAGAGCCCTTCTTCTAAACAAGGACTGGTGGTTTCTAAGGGAGGAACAATGCTGTTTCCTTGATTAAAAAAAAAAAAAAAGAGAAAAAGAAAGAGCCTTAACATCTGGCTCTTCTGCAGGATCATTTGGGGTCTCCAAAGCAACATATTATTTAGCATTAATTAATCAGAGAATGAAAAAAAACAAACAACCTGAGACTAAAACTCCACCAACTCAACAAATCACTTCTGAAAACAGTAAATAAATATTACGGTTTCTTGGCCCATTGATGAGCTATCAGACCAAAAGGGGTGTCACCCAGGCTGGTGAGTTACAATGAAGTCCTTCAGGGAAACCACTTGGTCTGCCTATAAGCAACCTTGCAGGACTCTGCAGAACTCCAGAAGAAAACAAGAGAATTAAAAAAAAAAAAAAAAAAAAAAAAAAAAAAAAAAAACCAACCATTACTTCCAAATTAAAAATACATAGGCTTTTTTTCTTCTTGTTTGCTTTTGCACCTAGCACCTCTTCAACTCCTAACGTTGTTTCAGTGCCATCCATTCTCCTATTTCCCCCAGTCAACTTGTGTGCAAGACTTAAGCAAGTTATGCAATGTCTCAAAATTAAGAGTCTCTCCACCCCCTTTTTAAAGCAGTGGGGAGAAAGACACCAGGAAGGAAAATTCAACCATCTCGTAGCTGTTACAGCTGTCAGTTGCCCAGAGTGTGTCACAGATAAGGCATGCTACAGAACACACAGAGACATTTAGCAGGATTAAACGCTGCAAGGACATGGTGTACACCATCCCTGCGTTGAAATGGTTCTCAAAGAAAGAAAAGTATCTAATTCTTAGAAAATAAAACCAACGATCAAAAAAACCACCACAGTTCTCTTATTTCTGTTCTTAAGAGCGCCTCCCCTGATTCCTGCATCAGTCACTCACAAAGGCATGAACATGTGTTACTCTGAGTCGCAACCAATCACCAGGATTTAACACTTTGCAGGGCATACAAGAGAACTGAGGATGCGCTGCTCTCCTAAGGCTTGGTTGGAACGCCTCACATATTTGGAGACTCGTGCCCATGACAGTCTTTCTGCTCTTTCAAACTACAAGTCCCAGTGTCATGATCCAGCCTGGGTATCATGAGTTCTTCACCAGAAGGTGGTCAGATACTGGCACAGGCTGCTCAGGGCAGTGGTCATGGCCTCAATCTGTCAGAGCTCAAGGAGCATCTGGGCAATGCTCTCAGTAGTCACATGGTCTGATTTTGGATGGTCCTGCATAGAGCCGACAGTTGGACTCAAGGGCTTCTTCTGGACCCCTTCCTACTTGGGATATTCTAAGATTCCATGGTCATAAAGCAGCACAACAGAAAGGTTTCGCTAGCATGCACTGACCAAGCTAATGAAAATCTTTGTCAGTAGAGCATCCATAGCTGTAACAAGGGGATGTTCAGTGCTTTTGAGCCTCTGCACCACCTATTTAGCTGCCTAAATTACAACCTGGGAAGCTAAATCTAAACACGTCTGTCTTTTATAAGCTAACACCTTGAAGTCTTCATATGATTACATGTGATAACTGCAGCACCCTAGCCGTACTGGAATGAGCTGGAAAGTTGATTGGCCTAAAAGTGTCACCCACAGTTAATGCCAGGAGGTCAAAAGTGAGAACTCTGATTTTTAGATCCAGTTCTTTAGTCTTCATCTCCAATGCTGTCAAGTTGCAGCATGAGCTAAAAATCTGCTGTTCAACAGATGAACCTCAGTGCACCAAAATTTCATTTTAGAAGTGCAGAATCAGCCCTTTACAACTTTGATGTAGGGTTATTTCCCTTGAGAAACTGTCCTGGTACAGCACAAGTAATATCATGGTAATATCAAAGATGAAAGTACGAACAGTGCCAAATCACGTTGGAGAAAAGGGTGGAAGTAGTATCAACTGAAACATGAGTTATAGCACAAAGTTTTGTAGTACAAGACAATTAAAAGAATACTACTTATTACCAAATAATTTTTCTTTCATATAGGTTTAGATATACCACAGCAAGAGTTCATCCAGCTGACTGAAGGCTCAAGCCAGCTGGCAGATCTGAGAAAAAGGAACACCACATAATCTCAGCAGCACTGCAATACTAAATCCATCAGAAATTAGCACAGCTAGCAGGAAAGCCTAACCAACTTTTCTTACGTGCATGACACTTGTAAAGAGTTACTGTAATACATTCTCAGAACACAACTGAATACTCCAGCTGAGTTTGCTGTCACATTTTCCTGTGCTCAAAACATCTTTATACGTGGCCAGACATTTGAAATCCATTCCCAAAGGTCCCCAAAACCTCAGATGCGTTCCAAAAGGGATTTGGAGAAGCTGTGCAGGGGGTTTGCCCAGCTGATTCAGGACACACGGAACGGCCAGCTCTCACCGTGCACTTCCTAGAGGACACTCGTTCGAGGCACCATTTTCCTTTTCATAACGAAGTAGGTGCGAATGGAAAAGCGCTATAAGAAATGCTTCCTTTCCGTACGCTCTTTAGGGCAAGTTCACTTCAGTTAAACGTCGGCAACTACGATGAAATTACTCTTCCCCTGCACCAAACTTCGCCGCATTTTCACTGTGCGCAGCGAACAAGAACGCACACCTGCGAGGAGCACCTCCCGCCGGCTCACAGCCACGGCAGCCCGATGACAGCACCGCATCGCACCGCAGCCGCGCTGCCCGCCGCGGGCCGACACCGCCCGCAGAGGCACGGCACGGCCCCGCCGGATGCCGCCACAGCTGCCGCCTGTAGCCCCGCTTTCTACCAACGCCTCTAAGCTTTGTTTTAGCCTCAAACGCGCGTGCACCAAAACGAATAATTCCTTGGGCCGCTTTTAAGATTAACGAGTCGAGCAGCCCGCCCTGCCCGCCGTGGGGCAGGCGCCGCACCTCACCCTGCAGTACCGTGAGCCGCGGCACGGCACCGTCCCGAGCCCGGTTCCACCGCCCCCGGCCCCTCACCTGTCCCCGTGCCCCCTGCCGGGCGCCTTCGGCAAAGTTTCCCGGACGAATGGACGGCGCGGACCCCCGCTCCTCGCAGCTCCCGGTGCCGACAGCCCCCGCCCGGCCCCGCGTCCCGCCGCGGCCCCCCGCCGCCGCTGTGACTAAAATAGGCAGCAGCCGCCGGCGGGCTGCGGGAGGCGCCAGCCCGGGGCCGGCAGCGAGCGGCCGTAGCGCGCAGGCGCCTCCCGCCCGCCCCGGGGGGCTGCGGGGCTGCCCGGCGCGGCCGCGGGGTTCGCGTCGGGGAAGGCGGCTATGTGGAGCCGTGGCGCGAAGTGGTGTTTCGATGCCTGGTGCCCGCGGGACGAAGGGGAGAGCGGTGCCTGTGTGGGGCGAGCCCTGAGCTCAGGCAGCGCGCCTGGCATTTGGGTGGTTAAAATTAGAAGCACTGAATTCCCCCCTAAAGAAGCGGCAAGCAACGTTTCCCCTACATGGTGAACCAAGGCGTCAACAATGGGCTTTGTAAAACCTCGCCTCGACTTGGCACCTGCCTAGGCTGCTCTGTCACCCGCAGGGCGTTCCAGAAACGCCAGCAGCACGAGCCCTGCAAGCCCCCACAGGCCACAGGTGCCATGCTTGCCCCCGGGGTGCTGAGAGACCCCTCACGCTCCCACATGGCGCTCCCAAACTACTGGCGTGCACCATCCTGCCCCGGGGACACACTCGCAGTCTGTGGCAGCCTGGGAGCCAGAGCTGTTTGTCCAAAATGCGTTATGAATTGTGAAGGACTTCAACGGGGCTGTGCTTCCTTTTGGGAAGAAGTGAGGAGCTGGGTTCACCTCCTGTCGATGCGGATACAGCACTACTGCTCTGAATCCCGCAAACATAAATTAACCTGACAGGAGCCAGACATGAAAACTGTTTGCTCTATGTTTATTTATGAAGGGGCTGACTCCACACAGCCAGATCAATGTTAGAGAACCGTGGTGATGCATGTTGTTTGCAGAGCTGTTTGTCAGAGCAGATTTTCCCTCCACTGTGTTTTTGCTATCTAAGCTTTGGCAGTTCCTATACTTTCATCATTTAGTTATTTCTCAGAGTCATGGTCCACCACAGAAAATGTCATCCAGGCTGCAGGTCACCTCATTTTGCCCCTTAGAATCACAGAATCATTATGGTTGGAAAAGACCCCGAAGATCATTTAGTCCAGCCATCAGCCCATCTCCACCATGCCCACTGACCATCTCTCTCAGTGCTGCATCTACCCTTTTCTTGAACACCTCCACAGGCAGTGACTCCACCACCCCCATGGGCAGCTTGTGTCACTGCCTCACCACTCTTTCTGAGAAGAAATTTTTCCAAATGTCTCCACTGCTGTGCTCTGTGCTCCTCACAGCCTAACTCTTGGTGCTGGGCTCTGCTTAGAACCGTGGGGCAGCAAGAGGCTGTGCTGAGCCGCTGCCACATAGCTCCTTGTCACTTTGCAAGCGCTCATCCTCTTCCCAGTGTACACCACTGATTGCATGGCCTTTTTTAGGCAAAGTTTTCACTGAAGAGGGAACAACAGCTTTGTGTACCTCGCTGCTGTACCCTGGGTCCCAGATGTGCCAGGCTGATGTGGTTATTTTGAGACAATGGCAAGTTCTATGAAACGCTTCCATTTATAGCTTCAGGAAGTTTCCTCAGCATCTGCAAGCCAAAAGATGCCTTCTCTCTACCAGTCTTTTAAATCATAGCATCACAGAGTGGCTGAGGCTGCTGGGACCTCTAGGTCCATCCGACCCAACCCCTTCTCCAGCAGGGACACCCACAGCAGGGTGCCCAGGCCCACATCCACGTGGCTTCTGAAGATCTCAGGGAGGAGACCCCCCTGTTTCTGGGCAGCCTCTGCCAGTGCTCCATCACCTGCACGGCACAGCAGTGCTGCCTTGTGCTCAGAGGGATTTCTGTAGATACACACAGAACTCACAGGCATGATTTCTGCACCTGTGAGTTACCCATAGGTCCTGCTGTGCTGGCTAAATCATGTGATGATAGAAAGAAAAGAAAAAAAATAGGGACCTGCTTGCTATAAACATCCCCCCCCCCCCCGCCCCATGTCACAAGGCTGGGTCACTGCACACCTGTTGCCACAGCTTGTTAAGGGCAGTGTGGGGAGCTAAGCCCAAAGGAGTCTGCTTGTTTCTGAAGATTGAGGGATGGGGGGGAGGGGGGAGACTGCTGGTATATTTTTTATTATTGGTAAGTAATCTGATTCTGTGATTCTGTGATTTTATTTCCATACCAAAAAAAAAAGAAAAGAACTAGATGAGAAATGTTTAACATGACCAGAAAGGCAGGCAGAACTCAAAAAAAACCCCCAAACAATAGCAATAATAGTCATGGAAGGAGGAAAAAAGAGGAATTGGGGGGGAGGCAGGAGATAAGCCCGCAGCAGAACTTAAACAAGTGGCAGGAAAAGCATGTAGGATTTGAGAGTGAAAACACTGCACGCTCTGCGGGGGAAGAAAAGGTAAACATATGAGCTCAGAAGAACTGGGGGTGGGCACTAGGCAGCTATCTTTAAGTTAGATTTGTCTTTGCAAAACAAAAACCAATGCAAAGAGAGGAGGACAAAGGTAGGAACAAAATCAATAATACACTGAAGGAAAAGATCACACATACCTGGGAAGAAAGTAAGCTGAAATAAATGCTAATAACGACATATCAAGAGCAAAAAACAAAGTGGGAACACGCAAGTTAAGTCCAAATGCACAGAACAGGTTGCTGTAGCCCAAATGTCATGCAGGACTTTTTGATGCATTTGCTCAGAGTAATCCTAAACCTGGAGATTGTAAACACCCAATTTTTCGACTGCGTTAGCTGCTTCCTCAGCCATGACAGTACAGTCAGCATGGAGCAGCTGCAGAGGAGGGGCTGCCCCACACCAACTGAGCTCCTCTGCTGCAATGGTGTGTGGATCCAGAAGCTGGATCTCAGTCCTGCAGCTTATAAACAGCTGCAGAAACATGTCCCTATCTGACACCACTGCGGCTTGCTGCTGTCTGAGCAATCTTTGAAAGCAAAGGCAAACACAGAGTTACAGTCCTCTGGTTTCAATGAATAGATAAGACCACTCTTCTGAGTAATGTTTATTGTACCTCCTTGTTCTGTAAAGAAAAAAGCAACAAACCAACCTCTGTTTTATAGGGTTAAAAACAGGGACGCATACTACAGAAGACAGATATTTATGTGATTATTACTTTTGCATGTAATATTGGCTTAAGTATACATGCTGCTGTATAAGGCAGTTTCAGAACTAAACCCAAAAAGCAGTATAAAAATATTGCAGATCTGATTTCAGAACATCCGTATGTAGTTTCTTCGCGCTAGTAACTACTCATTAATTCTTTAAAGTGTGGACATACGTACTGAAAGAACACAGTGTGCTTTGCAAAGACTACAGAGACCCAGTAAACATCAGAGCATGGAGCTGTACGGCTGTCAAGAAGTGCTCCCCATTCACTTCACATGGGACAGCTGCTTACAGAAGTCATCTGGGAGAGCCCTACCTTTCTGCCAACAAAAATGGGACACTTTTGCCTCATATTCAAAATATATATTTTTTTCCTAAGCTAAATCTGATAGTAAAATAGATAGTAAAATAGAGCATCTGCTACAACTACAAATTTTAAAGCTTTTAACATTAATTTACATGAACCAATCAGAGTACAGACTTTAAGCCAAGCAGCTATTTCATACCGATTGCTGACAACCAAACTCGTATATCCTGCCAGACGTGGACTGGATTACTTCACTTTTTGTAGGGGATAAGTCATTCTGCATTTACCACAGTGTAAGAGAATGCAAATGGGCAGACATGAGGAGTGCATAATGGGCTTTAAGGCCACACCACAGCTCACCTGCCCACATCCTCCTCACAGGGCTCCAATAGCCCAAACCCAGTAGTAGGTATCTGGATTCTCCTGTATGCTTCTTATTGTTTACTAACACCTACAGAACCCTGGAACCAGGCAGCAATTTGCCTGCCCGGCGTCACAGAGCCCACTCCCTTCTCAATGGTGGGCACCCAGATGTATCTTTTCAGAGCACTGACTGCTGAGTTGCTTACAGCAGGAAGGTGGAGGATGTGATGGTGCTGCCCACTTCCATGCAATCATGCACGTGGCACTTAGAGCACTTAGCCATGAAATGGGATTTCTGGCTTCAGCATCTTGCTCAGCCTAAGGGACCTTTACACATTTCTCCTGAAAAACCACCACATCCCCCAGGCTTTTGGGTAAGAATTGCTAGTGATTACAGTGAAAACTTGATTCATGGCTAAAATAGTTATTTACCACCATTATTTTATGGTGCTTGTTTATTTATCTAACACCAGTGTCTGTGTTCTCAATCATCTGCAGTACACTTATCTGAAAAACCCTGTGATGGGGAAATATTGATATCCCCACAATACGTCAAGGATCCCTTTAATTAGGAGCTCTGGTGGATGGGACAATGTCTGGGAATCCAGCAGAGCAGCTATAAGGTTCTTCTATATATATAGAAGATATATATATATGCTTATAGCAGCTATAAGCAGAATAGCAGCTATAAGATTCTTCTGCTCCCAGGAGGTTTTGGGAACACCCCACCTTCTCCCCAGTTGATGGCTATGTCTAACAGCACTTGTGGCTTGCAGAACGATGACTTGGGTGAAAACTCTTTGCTGCAGAGCCACCTGCAAAGCTACTCCCTCAGTGGAGGGTTTGCCAGCTGTCATGGTAGATGTGGCCCTGAACCCTGCAGACCTGTCCCCATGCGGTGCTCCCTGCAGTTCCATCTGCTCCCCAGGCTGGCAGGAGCAGCTGGCTGCTCACAGGATGTGCTGCTGGTGCCTCACTCTTACACAGCAGTGAAGACATACAGAGCTCCACCTGCACACCGTGATGCACTGGGAGGTATTTCCATGCTGAGCTCAGTCAACATTTTTGATCCACACAGAACACAAGATGCAGACTGTAAACAGTGAAATATGAAGTGAGATAGCAAACAGTTCTTCAGCACCTCTATGTTCTGATTGGTGGTATTAATAATCTGGATTATTAAGAACTACTTGCTTACTCACTTCACTGTTTTAACACACAATATGCTCAAAACTGTAATCCAGG